GCTGCTACTGCTGCGGCTAACCTAGGAGGCACTCCCCTACGCAAATCATGGATGCCATCACCTGCAGCGCGCACCGTCGGCCGATGCCGCGCCCATGCATACGGCGGCCCTCCAGAGCAGCTTCGGTCACAGCGCCCACATTTTGCCCAGCGGATTTGCCCTGGAAATCCGGGGGGGCATCACGCAGCCGCAGACGGTGATTGGAGATGTCTCCTCGGCACGATCCAGAACTCCTCACCTGAGCGGCCTTGTACTCCCGGGTGCGAAAGCGAGATGCATCCATTGAAAGCCCCCCTTCCCCCCATACATACATACTAAACACATTCCACTCGCACTCGCACTCGCGCCTCAACTATGCTGCCACCTCGGCCTGCTCTGACATCCCCCCGCTGCTGCACTGCGTACCGTTGCTACCACGACCGCTCTTGCTGCTCCGCTGTCCCGCTCGTTGATTGCTGACTCGCCTACACGTGCTTATCAAGACGGCCAGGGACAAGGCCAATATCACGCTCCCGCTAAAAAACAGTGGGGCAAGGGTCGGGAGTAGGCTGGATAACTCTAATCACGTTTCCAGACGGTCTCGATGGGAGACTGGCAGCTGGCAAGGACTCTGCTGACGCTGTTTCGAATTTACATTGGGCTAATTTCCTCGCCAGTACCGCTACTACGGCGCCAACCCTACGGCCAGCCCTCCATCGCGCCCAAAGACTGTCGAAGCAAAGCAATGGGATCTGGCCACCACCGACGCCCTCGGTAGAACCATCTCTGCGTCCTCGACCACCGCCTCGTCTGGCCCGCGCCCTCACTCCACCATGGACATCACCAGGGGCTCCATGTCGAGCAACTCAAACCTGAGTACCAAGGACGACGGCACCACCCCCAACGAACCCTTCATCCTGCGCCATGGCCGCAGATACATCCGACGCGCTCAAGGCTACCCGCTGCCATGCGACCTTCCCGAACTCCACCGCCAGAATCTGCAGACCCTTCTTGCCACGGCCGTCTTCGGGAGGGCCCTGGGCTCTACCCCATCACACGCCCCGAAAAAAGTCTTGGAAGTCGCATGTGGCACAGGATACTGGTCGGCTGTCTGTCACGAATGGCTGAGTGGTACGTACACCTGCTGACCTTGGCGCGCTCTCCGGGCTGTCCGGGCAGAGAGGCCTGCGACTTCCCTTTCGCCATGTCTGCATACCCCGCTGCCACTCAGTGTTAACAATGAACCAGGTCAGGGCTACGAAGACGTTTCTTTTACCGGATTGGACATTGTCCATGTAGCCGGAGACTTGCAACGCCAGGGCATTGACTGGAAATTTGTGCAACACGACTTGCGCAAGTTGCCACTGCCGTTTGACGATGAAGAGTTTGACATTGTAGTCATGAAAGACATGAGCATGGTAGTCCCCTTGGGGGCGCCAACACAAAGGACACTTGACGAGTGCATCCGCATTCTCAAATCTGGCGGCACGCTAGAGATGTGGGAGACTGATCACATTATCCGTTCCATCATGCCTCATCCCCCGCCTCCGCCAGGCAAGAATCCTCAGGATTATGCCTGTGCCGTATCAACTGGTACATTTCTTATTTCGCACACGACGCCCTTCACCGACGTCCAGAACAAGTACCTCCAAGATGCAAATGCATGGATCCAAGAAGCCCTGGGCCGACGCAAACTCTCCCCAGCCCCGTGTTCGCGCATCTCTCAGATATTGCTCCAGGAGACGGAGACGCTGTGCGAGGTAGAAAACCGCCGCGTGGCGATTCCGCTTGGCGAACCGCGCTGGGAACGCGAAGCAGCAGGCGACACAATGAAGCGACGAGGGAGTGAGGCTGGGAAGCTCAAGATGGGCGGATCAACCATGGATGGCTCTACCCTGACGCAGGAACAAGCGGCCCTTCGGCACACGGCGCTCCTTGTTGTTATTCAGCTGATCGAAAGCCTTGAGCCGCTGCTCAAGGACGTCAGCGGCAAAAATCAAGAAGAATGGCAGCGCTACTGGAATTCCATGATCAACGACCTGCTCGAGCAAAAAGGAGCCTCGAGTGGCGAGTGTCTTGAAATTGGAATCTGGTGGTGCAAAAAGGTCTGAGATTTGATTGGTGTAACCTCTGTTTTTCTTGAGCTTTTTTCTCTTCTTTTCTTTCTGTGATATCCCGGTCTACGGCAGGCCATCGTTGGCAGATGTTAGTTTGTGTTTGTCAGTGGCTAGGCACCTGTATCGTAGCGCTGGCGCAGAGTACGATAACGCTTGAGATAGTATCTGTATCATGTTGTTAGCCATAAAAAATACTTTTGGAATCGATGTTTTTTTGGCTTTTTCATAGCATGGACTTACAAAGCTTCAATTTCTAAACCATATACATATTAGCAGTGAACGGATGACAGGGTTGTTGTATTATTAGAAGACTAACCTTTCTTCACGTACTCTGCCCTCTCGATGCCTTGCTTAATCTTGGCCTCATCGGTCAAATGCCGCTGGCTTGCGAAGGCCTTGTGTAGACGCGTACGAAAGTAATCGTACCCTTGAGGGTACTCTCGGCCCATGTAAAGCAAGTCTGTTCCACGTGGGTATAAGTTTGGCAAATATTGGGGGGGGTACGACGGACCTTTGTAGATCCGGATGACTTGATGGCGAAGCGCTGGGTTTGCAGTAGTCATGTCTGGAGTAGATGAAGTGGAGTGGAATAGAATTTCGTTTCTTTTCTGAGAGAAAAAAAACTAATATGGTTGTGTAATTAGATTGGTACTTTTCTTTTCGTTGTAGATGGCATGAGCTGGGTGCACGACAAGGTATGTCGTAGTGTGATGAAAGCAGAAGGATGCGCTCGGACCGCGTTCCTGACGTAGGTACATAGGTACGTAAGGTTGGTCGAGTCGAGGTGGAGAGCTGGAGAAGCGGGGACCTCGGCTGCTTTGCCGCTACCTGCACATTGCCATCTCCAGATTCGCCGTGTTGCTTTTGCAGCGCATTTCCAAGCTTTTGTGTATTGTTGTTTTGTCGGCATGCCACCATTACTGCGCGCAATTGTCTGTGGGGTGAAGCCAACTAGGCAGCTTCCAAGTGTACAGCGTGTCTCTTTCCAGCGGTATCAGTCGACGTCAAGTGGTATGTAGATATACTTTGGGAAGGTACAATATGATCAACTAATCACCGTGCACTGTGCATGCAGATAACGCACCTGCCACAGCTGCTCTCAGTCCAAGATGGCTCTCAGATGTCAAGCTGCGCATTGGAAAGTGCATTAGTTTTGGAATCAATCCAGCACAAGTCGAGGAGGCCGGCTCGATATTGCAAGAGACGTCGGAAGATTGTAAGCATTCAACTTGAAAATTTATTTCTAGTGCTTGTGCATGACGAAGTTGCTAACTTGTTTGTGTTTACCAAGGGAGAGAACTCGTAGCCGGAAGCGAGGGCTTTCTTACTGGCAAGCAATGGCATGGGCTCTACCGGCAAGAGGTTGTTTGGGGAGAGATGGTCAGCTTCATCATCCAAGACTTGTGTAGACGACTGCTAATGTGGATGTTGGCTGCGTGTAGGATAGCATGGTAGGTCGACTCCAATGTGCTAGTGAATGATTGCTAATTGACTCAAAGGGTACTTAGCTAAAGACGTCGTTATGTACAGGCAGAGTCTCTAATTGTTCCCAGGTCACGTGAACAATGTCATGTACAATCGATATGCTGAGTCTGCCCGGGTCAACTGGACACTGAATTTTGCGGCTAGCGACCCGCAGCATCGGGCTGAGTGGTTGGAGCTCATGACACCGAAAAGCATTGGCTTGATTCTGCGGAGCATCAAGACTGACTACAAATTTGTAAGAGAAGGCATTCTATCCTCTGCTTTTGTTTGTCTGTTTACTAATGTCGAACACAGCCAATGACATGGCCAGACAGGTGTGTTTGCCGACGCAACAAAGCAGTCCCGTATTAACACGTGCGCCACCAGGGTCACGGTACTCCACAAACTCCGCAACAAGCCTAGTCAAGGCAGTGATCATTTCATTCTCGATGTCATGATTCTATCAGAGGCACATCGCCGTCCGGCAGCGCGTTGTATTGAAGACATTGTAGTTTACGACTACAAGGCGGCCAGAAAGTCACCACTACCACCTTTTATGATTGAAAAGTTCCAGGAAACGTTCAATTTGCAGGAGCAAGCCAAGGCAAGAAACAGTGGTAGGGTTAAGGGGCTATTGGATAGGGTGAGAGCATTGGAGAAGGGCAGCTGGGATAGACCAGATGCTAAGGAGGATTTTGGAAGTGCGAATGATGCATAAGCCCGTAGCAGCCTATCACTGAGGCCGATCGCGTGGTGAACAGCGGGATTTATGAGTGAGAGAAGAATAATACAAGGATGAATCATACGTTATGATTGCTTTGCTTAGAGGACGAATGTACATGGTGGTGTAGTGGTGAGTAGGATTGGTCGAGGGCGGCGGTTGCATGCATATCACGTCATGTTGCCTGCAGTCTAGTCGATGCAACATGCGGGGTTTTTTTGCAGGCAACTCTGGATCATGCCATAGTAGCAGCGGAAAAGAGGGATATTGATGGCGGTGGGTGGAAGAAAGCAAGTTGGCGTGCAGGACAGGTGGGCGCAGGGGATCTGCACGTGATGGGCGATGGAAATTGCCTGTTGCGGGGATCTGCGCGCCCGTTGGACGCGTGATGGTCAAGCTTTCCCTTGTTTGCACCGCTGCCCCGCTGCCATTGGCGCAGTTGGGCTAAGCTTCTACGCCGGCAGTGTGCAGATTGCGGAAAAGGCCATGGATGTGCGGGCGGATGGCTTGCGCGCTATGCTCGCCGCAATCCAAGACAAGTACACACAGATTGACGCAAATGCTCCGATGGCTTTGTCTGCAACAGCCGAACCGTGTGCCCGAGCCTCGTTGACGATGGGGCTGGATATGGTGCGGTCTGGACAGCTGGCACGGGCACGGCCAAGTTAGTTACATGTGTAGATGGTATTAGCACATGGCCTGATGGCAGCCACCGCATCATGTCTCTGCGCGCTGAAGACGAAGAGACGCGAGTAATAGACGGCGTCGCTGGCGGGGATGTGCCCGCTGCAGAGACTTCATGGCATGTGGTCAAGAGAGGAAAGCGCGACCTTGACTTGCCCGGAGCGGGCTGTGGCACAGGGGGGTCCCGGCGCCCGCAAATGAACGGCCATGCTAGAGAGGCCGGCGGAATCCCGCCCACGAATCTGATGGATGGTGGTGATGAGGCTGGGACAAAGAGCATGACGATGATGCAGCTGATGCAGACAATGGCAAGACAGGACCCGCCCGACGCAACACAGACGCAACGCAGATGCAATACCTCTCTGTGCGGACAGGCCAGATGAACGGGCAGTCTGGCTTGCATGTCTTGCGCGCAGCAACCATCGTGGGCTTAGTGGCTACTTACGATCGGCATCGTCAAGAGAAATCGGTCTCAGTTCGGCTGATGTGGGTATCGACGGAGCCAGGAGAGGGAGCCAGGCGCCAGGCATCTTGTACTATGTACCCAGGTGTACATTGTTCATGTGTGCTATGCATGTACCGACGTAGACATGTGCGCGTGCGTGTGCGTGTGTGTGCGATTGAGGTGAAACCCACGGGGTACTTAGTTACGGTAGAGGTGGCAGGCCGAAAGACCGAGGGCGGATGACAATGGCAAAAGGCAAAGGCATTGCAGCGGCAATCAATCAATGCCCTGGCCAGGGGGGCCCAGTGGCACCATCAAGGCACGCCGTGCTGGTTGACTGCTCTGACTTTTCTGACTTTTTGCACTTGACGTTTGCGCAGACAGCAGCGCGGCTTGGCAACAGGCGGAAAGCTGCGAGTAGCCACGCGCAGGGCACCTCACACACTCTCTTGCTCCCCCATTCATCCCTCGCAGCCCAGCATACGACGCCCTTGCTTGCCCTTTCCCCTCGCCGCCGCCGCCCCCCCTCGTCCTCACACCACCCCACCGAGCAGCGGCTCTCAGTCTTCCAGTCTGGCTCGTCCTGTACAGCAGTCGAGTCTCGCCGGGGAGACGTTTGCCCGCTTGCACCCGCACCCGCACCGCCGTCTATGGTAGCAAAGTCGAAGAGGACCGCGGCGCACGACAAGCGACACGAGAATGGCCTTGCCGCCCCCGGCAGACGCATCGACAAGCAGAAGAGCAACCCGGCCCTCAGTGCCAACACCCCCAATGGGAAGACCACGGCACAGCCCAGGCCCCAACCCGGCCATGTAGCAGACAACAGCGACACGGCGCCAGCAAACACGCTCCTTCACCACGACGCCGCCTCTGCCATCATGCCTGCCGCCACCCCTGCCGCCGCCGCCGCCTCGTCGTCCTCTACCTCGTCGGCCACCCCCTCCGCCTCCTCCGCCATCACCACTCCCGCTGCCCCCCACGCCCGCTCACACGACCGCACGCGCGCCGCTTCGGACGCCTCCAACGACAATTCCACAGATGCCTGCCGCCCCTACGACAATGCCACGGCCCCCTTTGACCCCATGTCATCGACCCTCCGCCGCGCAGACACCACAGGCTCCAAGCACGCTTCGCTGTCCATGACCACCATGCTCTCTGTCCCCGCCACCATTCTCACCTCCTGCCCGCTGCGGGACGTGCTCGCCATCCTCATCATCCTCCTCCAGCTCCCCCCAACCGTCCTCACCGTCGTTCAGTTCCTCTTCGCTACCCTCACTTTTGTCCCGCCCCAGGCGGGCACCCCCCTCTCCGCCCTCTCTGCCTTTCCCTCCTTTACCGACATCTTCCAGGGCTCCGGCGGCACGCCCTCGCTCTTCACCACAATCATCGCCGACACCGTCATTCTTATGATATGGCTGTTGCTGTGGGTCCCTGCCCAAAACTTCTTCCTCGACCTGGCACAGGCCGTCATTGCCATCGCCCTGGGAGGAGCTGCAGCTGGAAAAAAGGGCACAACCAATAGCATCGTCATATGCTTTCTTATCATCTTCACCAGCCACATGTTCAGATTTAGGCCTCTCCGGCAACACATTGTCCACTTTCTTTGGACAGGGCTCGCCCGGGGAGGCCTTGAATTTTTGACGAGCCCCCCGAGTACGCCGACCTCATTGGAAAGCTTCTCAACCCCCCATGGATGGCCTCGCAGCCTCCTGGGCATTCATATTCTAGCCCAAGGTGTCGTTCGCATCATCCGACGCTCTCTGTCTCGACGAGAACACACAACTCTACCTACTGGCAAGAAGACAGACCCCGAATCTTGTGTGCTTCAACGCTCAAACTCTATTAACCATGAACCAGCTGCCGATGTGCCCAATGCCTCGAGCACCGACGGCCGCCCCCCGGGGCCGTCGCCCGCCGTACACGCACACAAAGATAAAGCAAGTAGTGGTAGGAGGAAGAGAAAGCAAGCCACTCATGTTCGGAGTCAGCAGCCGTTCTGGGCTGCACTTGCAAGTACAAAAGTTACTGTTTTAAAAGAAATGGAGAGTAGCCGGGCGGCAAACGATGCCGACGAGGCTAACGCAAAAGACGCAAATCACATTGGAAACGCTGTTTGGAGACCGGAAGACGATCGTGTTTGGATTTCAGAAGTCGGCTTTTCCGACATTTCATTTCGGGTTAGTTTAGCTGGTGGAGCTGGTATGCAGGAGCAGAACGAGGATGATTCGAGCGTCGGGTCCGGCATAGACAAGTCAAAGCCATTCTACATCCGTGTCAATGGCGCCGATTGGAGCTCTGCCCGAATCCGGCAAAGCGGGCCTATTGATTTTGAAGGCCAGGAGGGAACGGGCTACTGGGTAGGGGAGATTTTTGGGTTGACGGCACTGTCCAACTACTACTGCGAGTTTGTCAGGACCAACGACAACGAAGTCTTCTACTCAGCCAGTCTTATTACCTCTGCCAGCCCTGTCACCGAGCTCGGTAAGAATGACTATTTATGCTATATTTCTTTGCTAACGCGGTCAGCTTTAGCCTCCATTGCCTCCCCACCAGCGCATCAGACCCTACGACCCTCTTCGCCTACTACGACATTGAAGAACTCTATTGCAGCAGCCGACCAGCAGTTGCAAGAGCAACGCAATCGCCTGAAGCGGAACAAAAAGGACCACAAATCTGCCATCACCAATATCAAGAAAGAGGTGGATACTCTCGGAAACCGCCTTGCCAACGCTGGTGGCAGTGATGAACGCCAGCGCCAGCGCGTCCTCCAACTCACCCAGAATATTCGCCAGGCCGATGATGCAGCCGCAGATTTCGCCCTTCAAGCAGAGAACATCGGATGCGTTCCCGAAGAGGAGTCCAAGGAAGCTGCAGCCAAGAAAGCCGAATGGAAGAAGGAGCGCGACAACAAGAATGCTATTGCGAGCGAGTTCGATAAGAGCAAGGAAGAGATTGAGCGCCAGGTTCAAAGCGGCCAGAATGACATTAACAATGCTTACCAGAAGAGAGAGCGTCTTCAGCAGCGTCTTACCAGGCTCAACGAGCAGCACGACCGTCTTGTCACCGCCAATGCCGAAGGCTTCACCGCCAAGCAGCGAAGAGAGCAAGAACGTGCAGCTTTGCGAGCACAGCGTGCTGAAGTCGAGCATCAATATCGGAGCAACATCATCAACTACGAAAGGCGAACTGAGGAGCAAAATCTCTCGACTACTCAAATCATGCAAACCGTGCAGCATTACGAAGAGCTCATGATTCAGCAAGCCCAACAACACATGTCTGTTCCGACCACACCTGATGGCAATCTCCCTGGCACAAGCATGTCTCCTCATAACAACGGCTTCGCCAGCTTCACGTTCCCGTCGCTCAACTCTCACATGAACAGCACTCCTGGTTCCATGCGTGGTGGTCGCGGTCGCTCTTCGTCGATGCTTTCCAACGTATCCGGCTTCACTGACGCTTTCGATGAACCCTCCTCTATGGCCCCCTATGTGCTTGGCAATCCTTTCAATACCCCTGGACCCGTCAATGGACGCAACCGCAGTCATGGAAGTGGCAGTTTGAGCTCGGGTACGTCGAGCCAAACTTCGAGCCAGAGGGATCCCATGAGTCCTATCCAGAGTACCAAGCCCATGATGGTTCGAAGCGCAACGAGTGGTAGCAATGGTTTCATGAGTCCGATTGGCACTGGTCGATAAAAGTGTGGGAAAAAAAACGGGATCTGTTCTTTTGCCGGATCTCCTACGTAGCTCTCCAATGTGATTATATGTGTTCTTTTGGTTTATCCAAAATTCGTTTATACGATTCGTTACCTTGCATTGTGTATGTGTCTATTATGTAGTGATGATGTATTGTGCCTGCCTTATCTAACACGCAGTGTGTTTAGTATTACGATTCCGGATTACAGTAGTCTGGTCAGTATGCTTTGTACACTTGACAACACTACATCCTGTTCACACTCTTCTCCTCACATCAAACTAACAGATTATACTTCAGCATACAATCAACTCACTTGACAATTGCTCCAATACATGAGGGGTAGATCCAGACCTCAACCCCCTCATTTTCTTACCTTCACACATTGAGAGAAAAAAATGTATGTAGAAGTATTGTTGATTTCCTTCTCTTTTTGAAATCGAAACAAAATGAAAAAAAATGGTGATATTATAGGCCATTAACGTACACTTCGCGTCCATCATCGTGGTAGTCTAAAGAGATACAGTTTCGTGTACTTAATCTGATGCTCACAAGTCCTACTACACCTAGGCTTTTTCTTTCACCTAGCACCATACTCGCAATGAGATGGATCCAAAAAACAACAACAACAACAACAACAACAACAATCAATTCAGTTCTATTTATTGCACATCTGTCGAAGAAACCCGCAGACCAATACAACTATTACAAAGAAAGTAGCACCATATAAAAAGAACACCATTGAGCTTTTACTAGATTACCAGATATGTGCAAATCATGTGGTAGGCACTAAAAGGACCTCCTCTCCGCTCATCGCAATGACTGAGGTCCATCCCACACCCAAGAAAAGAATTCCCCCTTCCTTTCCTCCCATTTCACGAGCAGACTCTACCAAGGCACAACGATCTTTTTGCGCGTACCAAGAGTAGAGAAGGCGTGTTTTTAAAGTACAAGGCCCTAAACATGAAAGGAAAAAGAAGAAGAAGAAACAGGAAAATATACCGCTACGCCTTGCTCCCATATACACATGTATTTCCCCCTCACAAAACAAAACAAGAGGCCCTGTACTCATTCTGTACCACGTCTGATCTTGGCACTCAAACAACCAATCTCATGCAACAAGCACAACCGCTTAGATACGATGCTTCTCCGATTCTGCAAAAATAACATTAGTCCTTGGTACTCCTCTTATCGAAATGAATCCCACTAACCTAGTCGCGAGTACAGCATGTACAGCGCCATTTGATTGCACTCTTGTGTACCTGTAATGGTGACGAGACGCTCGTTGCTATTGTCAGTAGGCTCGTTGATCTTGATGACACTGCCACTGAGCTGGCGAATTTCGTTGATCTTGGCACCTCCCTTTCCGATAATGGCACCAACCATATCGTTGGGAATGAAAATCTGTTGCGTTAGAGGCTGTCCAGGGATGGCACTAACGGGCGCATGAGGAGCGGCACCGTGTGCAACAGGCGCCGCAGCTGGGTGAGCGCCATAGGGAGTGGGGGCAGCAGGTCCGCCATAGGGACCGCGGCTGGGAGAAGCAGCGCCGTAGGGCATGTTAGGATGGCCATATGGCGATTGCTGAGGAGGCTGGCCGTGCATGTGTGGAGCGCCATATCCGCCATGAGCTGGGGTACGTTGAGCAGGCTCCTGGCGACGGAAATTCTGTGGGTGAGAGTACTGGCCTCCAGCAGGTTGGGGGACATATGGTTGAACAGACATGCCACCTGGAACAACATTGGCAGCCATACCGCTGCGGGTCGCGTATTGGGAGGCTGCAGGGCCACCGAATCGCTCGGTCAGCTGCTCAACCAGAGTCTGAGCAACATAGTACACGGCAATGTGCACGGCGTCGGCAACACCGAGAACGATCAACGAACGTTCGCCTGAGTTAGGAAGGAGTGTGTCGGACGCGTTCAACTTTGCGTTGGAAGCCTCCTGAATTTCGCGGATACGAACACCAGCCTTACCAATGATTGATCCAATAAGAATGTGGGGAATGAGCAGGCGCATGGGGTACGCCTTGGAGGTAGACGTTGAAGGGGTCTCGAGGTCCTCTTGGTTGAGAGTGCGTACAATGAGACCAAATGCCTTGGACACAGCATCGACTTGGCCGCTTACAGTAAGGATGCGTTCAACAGCACCTCGCGAATAGTCACTGACGGTGCACTTTGCGCCAGACAGACGTCGGATTTGGGTCACGTTCTCTCCGCCCTTACCAATAATGGTGGCGGCCTCGCTGGTGCCAATGCAAGCGCGTACATGCAGCCAGTTGGTCTCGTCAACCTGTTGGTTGGAGTTTACAGGGCGTCCATTGGCACCAGATGTGGATTGAATGGGCTGGGTCTCAAGAATAGAGGGAGCGTCAGGGACAACAGTGTCCGTCTGGATAGGCTCAGTACCATTCTCGACGGCGGGGGTTGCGACGGGTACCACCTTTGCCTGCTCTTCGCTGATGCCTTCAACAGCAACAGCTTCTGCTTTGACCGGCTGCGCGATGTCGATGGCGTCTGCGCTGGGGGCTTCATCCTTGACCATTTTATCGAGGGCAGGGCGCTTGGCATCGGGCTGGTCGTTGAGTCCGGCAGGCGATGAGGGCTCCTCGAGCGGACGCTTGGTCGAGGAAGCCGCAATGGTGGGTGATGCAGACATGGCTTCTATGTATGAGTTTCTGGGTCTTGAGAGTCTTCAACGGCTATATACGCTCTTCACAGTCGACGAGCGCGCAAACGCGATGTTGAGATTGTTTCAATTGATCTCGATTATCTTTGCGACTTTTATGTACAGCGGGGGCCGTGAAAGAAAGCGTGCTGTGAGGGCGGATTGGAGGGGACCGCGACAGCGCGGTAGAGGTGCGTGGAGGAGAGGTCGCCAGGAACGTGAACGGAGTTTTGGGGCGTGCAGAGGGTGCAGACGTCGGACAAGGGATGCCTCGACAGAGTGGGCAGTCGTAGGTGATGGTGTTGTGATGGAGCAGGAGAGTCGGGCAGGGTGAGTGGATGGATGTGATAGTGTGCTTCGCTCGGGGGCGATGGATGTGAGGTGAGGTCGAGAGATGAAGAAACTGGCCCAAGTAAAGAAAGCTCGCCCGTCAAACCTTGTCGGCAGCGATCCGGTGTCTCAGATAAGGGAACGTCTGGTGTTGCGTGCCGTTCCTCCCGAGCAACAAGGCAATGGGCAGGAGAAGGGGGTTGATGAGGGCTGGTGATTGAGAAGGAGCTTGGGGCGATGGACGGGGTCAGCAAAGCGAATTGCGTGAGGCAGAAGGCGCCGGCGGAGCGAAAAGGAAGCTGTCGCGGGGAGGTTGGCGCTAAGTCTTGGCAGGTCACGTGCTGACGACTGCACTGTGCCAGCATACGCAAACACCAGGAGACACAGGCAACCTGCAAACGCGCTCTCCTTTCAAGCTTCAGCGTGCACTGCCCAGACGTCTACGAGCGAGTGGGGGTGAGGTTGCCGCGCGCCAGGTACAACGCGTCTGTTAGCGAAGCTGCGCGACCACCACACATCACACCAACCGCGTTGTAAAAGAGATATGGCACAGGCACCGGATCAGGCTATCCAGCGGATACGAGAGTATGCCCAGGAGGCACGTAATCTGCACGACGACGCTGTCGATTTCGACGCGTCTGACACGGAAACTCGCCTGGCACAGACGGTGAAGGAGCTGCAGGCACGCGTACAGGAACAACAGGCAGCGCTGGACCAGGTAAGAAGAGACTGCAGCCACGGTCTCGTCGAGCATTGCTAAACGGACCACAGTTGCGGTCTCAATCCAATCTTGACATAGACAGCATAGCCTATGCATCAGAAGATCCTCATGAGAAGTTGCAACAACTCATGGCAGTCAAAGATGCATATAAACGCTTGAAGCCGACTGCGACATATCTGCCTCCTCAAGGATCACTTCTGCCAGCGCTGTTAGCCGCCCGTAGCATCCAGCAGAACGTACGGGGAACCAAGGAAGCCATTGCCAGCACGCAGTCCCAGTTACTTGCAAAAGAGACAGCTCTCCGTCGCGAAGAAGCTAATCTGCACGATGCCAACCGCCTCACGCAGGCCATGGAAGATCGTATCCAGCGGCTACGCTCCCAGCACCAAGACCGCTCGCAAAAGACGCCTGCCCAGCTTGCACGTGAACTGATTGCTGCCAAACGCGCGCAGAAAGAGCATTCCGACGCGGAAATGCAGCGTCTAGGTGAAGCGATGAATGACTTCATCAATGACTACCTCTCTACCATGCTCGCAGCTGAAGAACTGGGCGGGCCCGTCGTAGGCGACATGCTTGACGTAGACGACGACACCCTAGCCGCGGGCTTCACCAAAAAAGGGCGAGCAAAATCCTCCAAGAAGCCTCCATCAGACAAGACTCGACAGCGCCGAATCGACCAGATCTGGGGGCCCACCAAGCCGGCTGCCGATCAAGATGACGATGACCACGAGGAAGAGCCACCGCCCACCGAGGCGGAAGCAGCTGACGCGGAAATGCGGAAACTAATAGGCGATCTCTTTGTTACGCTCATGGGTCCGGGGGCAGGCAAAGCCTATGTTCAGCTCCAGAGAGATTCCGCGGCCTCCCGGTTCCTGGTCCGAGCAAAGATTGCCCAGTTCCATCCCAAAGATGCAAACAAGTTGCGTTTGATAGATTTTGGACGGGAACTAGATGATTGAAGAAGGTTGTTTGGGAAAGATAGAGAACCAAAGGAAAGAAAAAAAAAGGGGGGGAAGGGGGTTCAGAACACCAATATTAACAATGATAACTCTTGGATCAATGTTTTTTTACTACTCTTCCCAATATACTGGGCAATGGAATCAAGCCAACTCACTAACTCCCATTTTCCCTTTCCAACCTCAGCTGTGGCGGTGCAAAGCCAACCTCCTAACCTCCTTTTCCCCCCCATGCATCCACATCCGCATTGCCCAACCCGCGTCGGCGGCGTTCTCCCCCCATGTTCTTCTTTTCTTTTTCGCTTCTTCGCTCCCGCACTTCAATACATTGGGGCTGGGGATCCCTTCCTTCCACTTCCATACTTTGACACGGCCCACATGCTTCTTTTGTGCAAAAAAACTAATAAAAAAAATACCCGCAAATCAATGATTCCCAAGCCTATAGTCCCCCATTGACGCCTCTCCCATCATCCCTTCCCGATGTATCTCACTCACTCTCTCTCACTTCCCGCCCCCCCCTCCCGAAACCAATGCTTCGGACCCCCGACACGTCGGTGTCGCCGGGACCTTGCAAGGAACAAGGGAATAAAAGGTTCCCTCATTTGGGCGCATGCGCGCGCGTCTGCGTCCTCCGCCCCGCGCGTCGGACAACAGGGTACGGAAGGAGTAACTAATTGTACCTTGTACATATAACTAGCAGAAATACGGATACGCATCTTTTGCATCACGGGGTGCGTGCGGGCGGGCGGGTTGCAACTATGGACTTTTCTTACATTCTTTTTAGGCCATATATGCCGAAGGAATTATACGTATTTGACCAGGTCACGTAAACCAGACTATGCTTGATCCGCGCATGCGCTTTAGAGGAGAGAGCAACATGGGGTTCCATATTGTTGTTGATTCTTTCCCCCCGTCCTGGCTGGGGCTTTTGGCCGAAAAGGGAAAGAGGGAAAGTTGAATGAACACATAGAAAAGTGTCATGGCGGGGGGCACCGGGGGCGCTGGCCAGTGCTATCATCTTTTTTGGTCGCGCATAGACTTATACGGAACTTGCAAGGTGTGCTTTGGACTTTTGTGTTACCAAATATCCTATTCCGGTTCTCATTGCGAGAAGGTCCATTCTCTCCTCAGCCCTCGTATGGAAAATTTGGATTATTCTGATTACTGATACTCTGAAGAAAAAAAGGGTATAGTTTGTACATGTACATGTAAATACACTAAGCGCCTGAACTCCAACACCATGCAAACCCTTGCAGTAAGACAAGCCTAGTTTTGGGGGACACTACTTACTTACTCGCAGTCTGATGCCATTATCACCCAAGTGCAAGTGCGGGGGGTTCTTTTTTATCAAAACACAACCTATCGGGGAAATTCAGAAAAAAATGGGCCAATGGGCCAAGCAAAAGGCGTGTTCGCTCTCTCACCCCAACCCAAGCACAAGCAAGCGGATATGGCCATGCAGATATTAGTAGTACTTGACTCTTTTACTCATCTTTACCCTCATTTGCTTGCTTGCTTGCTTACTTGCATACACCCCATGTACTTCCCTAACATGACGCATCTCCTTTCCTCGCCCATCCTTAGGTACTTACATGCGAGACAGAAGAGGGGAAGGGGAAAGGAAGGAAGGAAGGCGCGCCATAACATTCCTTCCATACTACACCCAGCGCCCGGCGCCCCGCCCTTCCCAATCGCCCAACCGGCAGTATTCCAGCCACACTACATTGCATTGGCGGCTGATCGCAACTCGCGGTCGCTGATTCGCTGTGCTCAAGGCGCAATCTGCAATGCAATGCAAAAAAAAAAAGCCACGATTGCGCGCGCTCGCCTTGCCTGCCCGCTTTTTTGCTTGCACAATCGCGCGCCGTGTGTGGAAAGTCATTTCGAAAGGGAAAAGAGACATGTTTTTTTTTCAATAAAGGGTTATAGAAAGCGGCACGTATGTGTTGTGCAATCGTGTGTATACACGCCAATCTGTAATCTTTTGGTGGGAAGGGGGGGAGGGGGGGGGAACGGAGATGCGTGCCGATCGGGCCCCCGAAGCCTGGCTTGATTACTTGCCTTAACAACACACGCATGCGCAGAGAGAGAGAGAGAGAGAGAGAGAGAGAGGAAACAGGTACCAGGCATCGGGAAGCGAGCCCTTTGTCGCATTTTGTGGGGAATTTTCTTGTTTGGCTGGCAATAACAAAGGGAAAATAGGCAGATCGCCCGCTCATCGGGGGATGCATGCTTGCGCTTGTCCTCCCCCAGTCGGGCCTCTTCCTCTTCCTCCTCCTTCTCCTCCCAATCTAAACCACTGTTTTTTTCTTACGAGGTGTGTGATCTAGGGGGGGGGTTTCTTTGCTTGACCGCAACGTAGTATGAAGTCATCATCTTGCTAGGATTTTTTTTGTTTACTATCCCCGCCTTCTTCACCCAAGAAGCTGAAAGAAAAAGATTCTGCCCGTCGACGTGATCATATGCACATATTCTGGATTTGCCGTAATTGGATACATATCCACCGCGTCCACGTGCGGCGCCCCCCCTCCCCCCTTGTCTCCGAGGGCGTGGCCTTCGCGGAAAAAAACAAACAAGGGAGGGGGAGGGGGGAAAGCAAGAAGCGCGCGAAAGCGAGTGGGGATTTGGGGCCGCTCTCAGCTCGTCGCCTTTTTTTTTCCCTTGGGCTCGATTTCCCTCCCTCTCTCGCTCTCTACACGCGAAACGGTTAGGGAAAGTTGGACTTTTTACTTGTTTGGGTTAAAATAAACAAAAAAAGTAAAGAGAGAACCCCGGTTCTCCGAGGCTATGGTACGCCGGTGGTTAAAACCCCCCCCCCAAATATTTCCTCTCTCCCAAACCTTACACCAACTGGCGTTTTGTCTAAAAAAACCCTTTTGATGAGCTCGCGAAGCGCGGGTTATTGGCTTCTGGGATCGGTAATCGTGCCGGCCCTGTCTTGCATCATTATCTATTTCATACTAGTCAACAAATAGCTTCCCCCCCCTTCAAGCGGTCTCCGTTTTACCCAGCTCATAGTAACCTTCTGCTAAAGGTCCTAACCAACAACCTGACTCATTCGCGCCGGAGCCTCAAGATCCACCAAAAACAAGCACGAGATAGAGCCTAATCTCCACGTCAAAGACAAACATTTTCCCATGACTTGTTTTAGCTTAGGGTGTGGAATAAGCCGTCAATCTCAGCCCGCCGCCGCCCGCTACGTACCATATGTCACCCTCACAAAAAAATGCACTAAACTAATGGCTGATAAAGGCCGCGTTTCAAGCTTGAGAGAGAGAGAGATAAAAATGCAGTCCAATCGACGTCTGGGCACGAACAAAGTCTACAGATGTTACTAGTATGTAGTTTAGTTTTTTTTTGGACCGAGCCATTTGCATGGCAAATCGTTCCGTTTGATCAACGGCCGCAGTCTGTTCAATTAAGCCCAATCTACACCCAGTGCACACTACGATCTGCAGACTACGGCTGACACGCTTCATTACTACGGTACCGTAGCAGCGGGGGGATGCAACCAGTCTAGAACTCGACAATAAGTTGATCCCTCGGTCATTCTACTGGGATTCTTTTGCTCCCAGAGTGAGGCACCCACTCTGACATGCGAGGTGATGAAGATCGTCTGCGAGGGGTACGTCTTAGTGTGGCGGTGCGGCATCATCTTATCGTACCCTCGCCTCGGTACACCTACGTTATCCAAATGCCATATTTTGAGTGGCGAAAAGTCGTGCTAACGTCATGCGTCATTCGAGTGCGAGAGGCAATTCTGATCTCTGACTCAGAGCGTGTGACCGACCTGCATATGACAAGCGTACCGCATAGAGATAGAGTAGTGTGGCACAGTCCAGCGTTCGCGAGCCGTTGTGGCGAAGGCGAGGGTCCAGCCACATTACCTCGCCACTTGCCAGACTCGCTAGATTACACAACGTGTCGATCTCCGACTAGACCATTGCCCGCTCATTGGCTCATGCATAACCTTATACACTTACATATGTAATGTAGACTTTACTACAACGTTACCAGGCTGCTTTTTGAACGGGAGCGTCGTCAACCAACACACCGCGCCATTCTATTGGATCCTCGTGTACTCACTATCGGTTCGACTAGCACCAGCAGGCTTTGCACACATGACATGTACGCCGCCTCGGATTTGGCGTCCTGTTCTGTTTTCAGAGCCCTGTGGCAAAACGATAGGAAAAAAAAAAGAACAATGCTCAAGGGAATGCGCTCGAGGCCCTCGTGCACGTTTGCTCCCTACTAATGTTAAAGCATGGGTTCACAGGAATGCCGAGCAACGGTTATTCGGATAGTCTGGTTCTAGGTGTGTACCTAGACCTTCATAGCCTGTGCATCCCCATAAAATCGTTAAGTATGGGTGCCGTGTGCCGCGATCCGTGTGTATACCATCAGACCACCCGTGCATGAGCGCTCGCATAAACAACCATAAACTGCGATGGTAAGGCTGTGGATGTGACGCAAGCGACAATCGGTAGGATGCGCACATGTTTCAAGTGTACGATAAGTGAGGAGACGACTCGGCAACAAGACCGCCTACCAGGTTCAATCGGCCCGTTCTTACTCGACACCTGTTCTGTAATTGCCAGCGCATCCTCCACTCCCTGCTCCTTCGGTTCGTCTCTTCGGGCTCACGTGTGTCGTCGTCGTGATTCGTGAGCGGCTTGCTGCAGTATGACATCAAGTTTCGGGCGCGCCATCCTTAGGGCCGGAACGTGTTTTTGGCGGCATCGGCTACTCTACCCACACTACCCGCCAGCCCCCCCTCAATTTCTTACTTTCAGGGGCCCCCACTTGAGCGTAGAAGGATGCGATATGCCTGTTTCCGATGGCCATTTCCTCATGCATTTGCGAATATGATGCCCATTATGAACGCCCTTGCTCCCCTTGAAGCTGATAATGCCAGAGCTGGCGATGCAAAGGTGCTTTCTTCTACCTCTCAGCTCAGCAAGCGCCCGTACATGGCTTAATTTCCGGGGTTGGTGGTAGCGCGT